TTAAGTGATTTATTGGAGCTTGGATTATTAATTATTCTTGTGGATTTTATTGTGGGAATTTATTCTAAAGTGTTCTTGGATTTAACTTGGATTTAACTGTGCTATTGAAAAAGGATCATTCCAGGATCAGACTAGACATTTGTAATTTTTATTTGGACTTCAGGTATTTGTAAAGATAATTTGTTATTTTATTTTTCTTTAATAATTTTTCTGTAATAAATTTGTTATTGTTACAAGTTTGTTGCTGGCTTTTCTTTCTCGTTACGCCTGGCTCGTAACAATATTTAAATTTAACCTTATTGATTCTATAAATTTGATTTTAAGGGGTATTATTTTACACTTACAGTTAAATACTGGTTAATAAAAATATGATTACAATAAATAAATAAAAAAAATTTAAGCTTTAACATGATATCACCTAAAATGTTAAAACTGCTGATTTTAAAATTTACTTATTTATATTCATGAATAGGACATATATATTCCCAAAGTTTTTTTTTCTTACAGCAACTTAACAATGGATGCCTCCTGTCACTTGATATGCAATTATCCTATAAACCATTTAGGTGTCTGTGCACTTCTAGTTCAGCTCTAGTGCACTAGATGTGCACAAGGGTGGGAAGTTTAGTGTGAACTCAACTGTAATATTCAAACTTCCTAGTCATGTTTAAGCAGTAAAGTTAAACGGAAGGTGAAATGAATATCAATATTTTTGTTATATTTGCTGTGATTATAGCAGGTATGTCTTTTGTTGTATAGTGTTATTTGATTATATTTACGGTAACATAAAATACAGTTAAAAATGGGCATACTATTTCTAACAAGTGAATACTATTGTACTATTGTTGCAAAAATATATAAATGAAACCAATAGAATCATTATGAAATATTTGAATTAAATTGATGTAAAAATGCAATACTTTGATTAAAGATTCAGTAAGTGTATACATGTATATAATTATGTTACGTTTATCAATCTGAAAACGAAGCCTGTATGAAGGTAGACCACCCCTTTTGCCTTCGGCAAAGTTCGTTCGATGACGGTTATTTACGTGTTCGAATTCGGCTACGGCCGGAAATTTCCGATAATTTCCGAAAAGAACGTGACATGTGAACTGCCGGTAAGCGGAGTCATGAGTTTACGCGACAAATATGGACGCTTTTCTAGTAAACGGAAAAGAAAATGTGGAAAAAATGTTATAGGTACCGATTTTGCTGATGAAATTAAAGACCAGACATCTGAATCACACAAGGAAAACAGTCAGACATCGGGAAATGGTAGGCGTCTTGTGGAATTCGACGTTTTACTCACTAATCTACGATTGTGTAAATCGTGCCGACATCGACCTGTGCCGCTAATAGAAAATAATATATGTGGCGAACTCCAGAAGGGACTAAGTGGCTACCTTTATGTTAGGTGTTCTGACTGTGGATATGTAAACCGTGTTGCCTACGGGAAAACACACCGTGTGAAAAGGAAGGGGATGCCCTGTTTTGATGTAAACACAAAACTTGGAACAGGTAACTAAATTAATCATGCGAATAAATTCAGTTTTGGTACTTTATAACCAATGTGTCCCTTTTTACATTATGATACCTATGGAATTTTCATAGTTAGTAAGTAACACATGTCACCATTTTATGAAACTCGCATTGTTTTAAACTTTTGATGTAACTTAAACACTGCGTAAGTTGGTTTCTTGATTGTTAATTCATTGATGATTATCTGTAGGTAGCAAGACACTTCACCCCCAGACACTTCACTCCTCAAATTTTGAAGACACTTCATCCCTTAAGACACTTCACCCACCAAAATCAGTAAGACACTTCACCCCTCATCCAATTTTTTTTTATAAAGTAAATAAAACAAGTTAGATAACAACAAATGCTTATATATTTTTATATTAATTATTTTTAGTATTATTTGATTAAAAATTTTCTTTACTAAGTTTAAATCTGATTTAGGTTAATTGGTTGTATTGCCAAATGATATACAAAGCACTTGCATCCATTAAGTGCATATTGCATGTCATCTTGTTTATTCAATATGTTGATTGGTTGTTTATTCAACAGTTATCTCATAATTGATTAGATAATTGACTTAAAATGGTACAATTGTATGAAAATTAAATTTATTTATAATATTGAATAAATAAATAAATAAATAATAAATAAATAAATAAATAAATAAATAAATAAATAAATATGAATGAATGAATGAATCGGTTGCTTTATAAAAATGGTAAACATAAATTATTTATCATCATTATCAGACACAATTATCCTGAATTTAATACAAAGATCATTCATAATGTCATTTATTTAACAAATAAATAGCACCCGTTATGTAAATTAAGCACAAGGTTATAGCACAAATCATGACCAAATGAACGTAACTTGATTATTATATGGTAAGGATCAAACTGAAAACAAACTTAAGTACCAAAACTTTTAGAATTAAATCAACTCAAAATTTATTAGACAATAGGTTATACATAAAGCCACTGACCTCCAGATGGTAAAATTAAAAAAATGAAATACAATTTCAAGTAAACAGTAAATACTGATCTAGTAAGTTTTATTGTATAAATCCATCATCACTGATACCTTAATTCAAGAAAGAATGTTGACAAAAGCGTTAACATATCGAGTTTTTCTTTTCCATAATCTACTACGTTACTAACGCAGTAGCCAATATAAATAGGAGAAGATAATTTATTTAACGCGGTCACGTGTCACAACAGTGGTACGGAAAAATCCCGGTATCCGGTATGCCCGGGATCGTTCATTGAGTAGGCCCTTATCACATTTCAAGCTGAAGGTTAAATCGATAAATTTGTCATCATATATATGAAATAATTTATCAATAATAATTTTTAGGGCCATGAATTACTACAAATATAAAAGCAAAATCAATTATTCGTACCCCTATATGTTTGATAAAATCCCGGATTTCGTGCGTTCCGGCATGTCTGGAGCACAGGTCGCGATATTGTCCTGTACGATCACGTGATACGAGAAAAAACCCGGATGAAAGAATTCCGTGGTATAATAAAAGAAGGTATTTCCCATGGGTAGAAAAGCGAACCGTTTGTTTTCAGAGCAATAATGTTAAAATATGAACATTTTGAAGTGTCATTTCGTTTTCTTTCACATGCATAATGTTTTTTTGGGGTGATTTTGAAATATTAGCAAGACGGCAGTTTTTCTGCTTTCTTCTGGAGGTCAGCTGCTTTAAAATAACTTGAAAGTCTTTGTTTGAGTTTGTATTGTTATTACTATTTTGTATTGTATGTCTTTGCCATACTTCATGTGTTTTCTTTGTAAATGGCCATTTAGCAATTGATTTGCTGATGATGCTAATAAGATTGAAACTTGAATCTATTCTACTGTTATGATTACTCAAAAATTAGTTTTGGCTTCCATTTCGCTTTTATTTTGACGTTGTGCGACAGTAAAGTTATGGGTCAACCCTATTTGCAAAGTCTACCAGAATTTTTGCAGTTCGTGTGCCGTACATAAAATCTGTTAAAATCACCTTTATTAATCAAATTTGGGTCAAATAAAATTACCATTTGATAAACAAATCAATTTTGAATCAATTTTTTTTATATGAAACTTCAATGACATTGTGTACCCAACTATTTGTTAGGGAAATATGTAGAGAATGTGGCGAATTACAGCATGACATAAATATGTCACGGTTCTGGTTGACTTTCGATACGGGATTGGCTTCAGCGAACAGGTCTAGCAGTACTATAAAACCTGTTCGCTGAAGTCTCTTTAGCTACTCAAAAATATGAGCTAATTAAACAAAATTATTCAGTAACATTAAAAAAATATGAATAACTTAAACTATTAATACATGATAATTAATACAATAATCATAATTCATTACAGCTAACTAACAGCTTTGTATTACTGTTTTGCTTTCAATCCATTAAACAAGATACTGTCAATTAAAGACACAAAGTAAGTGTGAAAGAGATTATATACTCTTATTATATATATCAAAGGAAAATTCACACAAAGGTTCACACACTTTACTAGAAAGATTATTCAATTAGTTATATCACTTTTACTTTTTGAAATTAGTATAAAATATATAAAATTTAAAAAGAAATACTTTATATATACTATTAACTTTGTGATATGAGCCTTTGTTGTAGGGCAAAAACAACAATATATCCATTGTCTATTGTCAGTTACATAATAAAATAATAATAAAATATGTTAAACAGAGCAACAGATAAGCTATAAAAGTGAATTGGGTATTACTCCATCATTTCTTTTGGAATTAGGTATTGGTTCCATTTAATTTAGTATTCCAAAACTAGATACCCTATGATTTCAAGATCAATTGGGTATTTAATTACGAAGATATGAATTTTATGGATTCTATCAATAAAATCTAAACTGTTTTAAAAAGAAAATAGGATTAACAATTTACTAGAACTTTTCACAATTGTTTTATTTATTATATAAAATGCTCATGTTATATTTAATAATATTTTAACAAGTTCGTTTTCTGACTGATTTTTGATTATTCCCTGCGGTCTGGTGACCGCAGGGTATTGGTACGCGTTTAACTTTTGAGGCATGGAGGAGCACGTGACCTGTTTTCGGTACATGGAGGAGCATGTGATCTGTAAACCGTACATGATTGTTACGGATTTACCTCTTGTTCTGTATAGGTCTAGCAATTGACAGACATTGATATTTTCGCGGCCACCGGTGATCAATTAAACTGATAATGTTATGCTTATTACTTGCGGTAATACAAATTCAGGATTCTCTTCGATTGTATCAGTTATTTCCTGATTTCCATGCAGGTCATAAAGCACAGTTTATAAAAGAGTTATGAGTAATAAATAACAATGGATTTCTAATGTCACATATTGTAATAAAAGTGCATTGTAATAAAATTATATTATAATGTTAAAATGTGTTGATAAACTGCTCCTGTCTGCAATTTATACGTCTTGTAATTTTATCTTTACATCTGTAATAATTACTACAACATATGCTTATTTTGCAATTGCATTTATTAAGCTTCGCAGTAGTAGACATGAGTGGGGAACTTAAGTTTTCAACATTGTATCTTCAAAAATTTGCGTATAACAGTATAGTTCGATTTGTTTTGCTTATCGTAAATAAATTCTAAATTTAACTTTGTTATCAGTTTGAAGAATATAATGCTATTGCCCGGGAAAATGTTAGTGGCCTTAGATTATTAAATTGCAGACGACTCATAAATTATCAAAATAAAGAGCATCAGTAACTTTTGTTCATTTGGCGCCAATACAAAGTATATAGGGATATTCACTATAAATATAGCTTTTGAATATCTGCTTTTTTGGAGAATTTGCAATGAAATGAGGGGTGGGGTGTTTCTTTTCAAGTACTTTTATTAATTAGTATACTTTACAATAAACGAGGGCATTCTGACTTGCAAGTTTAAGGTCTCAGGGTATTTATGATATGAAAAAGAAATGTTATTTTGGTAATGCTCCATAAAGTCTTTTGCGTTTTATGTAATTGGTAATATCTGTTTAGTGCTTGAATAACAACATGTTGCATTCAAGTAAAATAAATCAAAAGTTTGCTTTATTCAGTTATGTTGTAGTTTAATTAAAATTGACAAGTTATTACTAACAACGTTTTGTGAGGTAGTGAAAAAATAATTTGATGATAGGAAAGTTAACGATGCACGATCTTACGATGATGTTTTAATAGCTC